TATCGCAGGATCTTTGCATCTAATGAGATGGTGACTGGACAACCTCCAGAGGAGTAAGGCCTCCGTTTACTTTAGTTGAGAAATGTCTAAATATTTAGTTGATTCTCTTAAAAGCCCTACACGATTCTGTAGCAAACTGGTCTCTAAGGTATGATCTTATCAGCTCTGCATTGCCATTGGAACATCTATTTAAAGGGAATTTGAAAAAGAAAAATCAGAAAATATTATTAAAAATACAAATGCTAACTTTTTCTCTCTCAAAATTAACTATTTTTAATACCCTTCAGATACTTAGTTTAGGACCAATACCTTTCCAGTTACTACTTTCTCTTAATTGGTTCTAAATTGAGAGAACCCTCAACTGGGCTCCCAGCTGGGCTCCCTCAAATTGTACTGGTTGAATTGAAAGTTTAGGGGTGCTTATGACTACTTTGAATGAACTGGAAAGGCATGGAAATCTCACTCAGAATGCTTCTTGTATATTCTTCATTTCTATTGGTTCTCATAGTGAAATCTACACTGTATGGTTTGGCATAGCCACTGCTCAGTGCTTGTGTCTCCATAGGGAAGTGGCTCCTGAGTGCATTTTCGTGGGAGTGGTAGGGAGAGCTAAGAAGGCTAAAGGAACTTTGTAAAAATGTCTCTAGGGGGTCGCCATTTGAATGCACAGTACTGTCTTCTACTAGCAGATTTTAGCTAAGACCAGCATTCAATTTGCTCTAAGTTTCTGGGATCTTCAGCGCCACAACTCCTGTCCATTCTAGCTACGGCATCCATTGGGCTTTAAACTCTTCCGACTTTCTGAGAGCAGAATCTCTTCCAGCTTGCGGTTCTTTACTATTGCTTCCTGTGGAGTATTATTAAGGCTCACCAAACTCTCCCCTCCCCCACTGCAGGAGGCCCGCGCAGCCCCGTCCAGCCAGCTTGATTAATGTGTCTTGGTTAATTGTGTGAAAGACGGCAGCCCTTTAGCAAGTGTGACCAGTTTATTGTTCAGCCAATCACGGGCGCCTCAGTTAGCATGTGAAAAGGGGGTGTACTGCCAGAGGAGGGTGAGTGTTCTGGCGGCTGAGTCAAAGGAGGAGCGTTTTGGGGGGTCACAGAGCAACACCCACTTCTTTGAGGGGATGTTACTATGCTCTACTAAACCTGTAAACCTCTAACTCAAAACACTTTTTTTCTCCTCCCTCTTTTTTCAAGATTTTTTTTTTCCCATGGTGCAAGCAGGCAAGATACTGGGTACTCTGCAGATGGAGTTCACGTTCCAGGGTTTTTAATATTTCACTTTTATATTTCTGTTAGAGAATGATCCTGCTGAGAGTCTGGGAATCCGTGCTCGTCAGAACCCCCTCACTGACACTTGGATATATTGCTCTGAAAGCTATCCCAGGAGAAAAGATTAAACAAAAAAAGCGCCTACTTTTCAAAGCCTACTTTTCAATCTGCCCACATCAAAATAAGACAACTGGCCCTTTGAAGTGGAGGACACAGAGTTCTCAGCCAGCTTGCTTAAAACGGGGAGTGGGGGAGACAGAAAGAAAGGAAGGAAGGAAGGGAGGGAGGGAGTGAAAGAGAGAGAAGGAAGGAAAGGAGGGAGGAAAGAGAGAGAGAGAAGGAATGGAGGGAGGAAGGGAGGGAGGAAGGGAAGGGAAGGGATGGAAGGAAGGAAGGAAGGAAGGAAGGAAGGAAGGAAGGAAGGAAGGTAGGAAGGAAGTGAGTGAGTGAAAGAGAGAGAAGGAAGGAATGGAGGGAGGAAGGGAGGGAGGAAGGGAAGGGAAGGGAAGGGAGGAAGGAAGGAAGGAAGGAAGGAAGGAAGGAAGGAAGGAAGGAAGGAAGGAAGGAAGGAAGGGGGGAAGGAAAGGAAAAGTAAGTTTCCAAAATCACACAACCCTCTTACCTTGCCCAGGTTTAATCAGGCTCTAGAATCTGAATTGATGGCTAGAAAACTTACAACCCTGCTCATCAAAGCTCCAAGAAAACAGTTAACTGTCAGAGAAATCTGTCCGGCTGGGTCAGCATCAGGTGACTTTTTAAAAGCTGTACAAATGGAAACTTTGCTGTCCTCCTAGAGGTGTCCAGATAAGGCCTAGAAATGGTGGCATGGGTGTAGATGGACACTGGATGGTTCTCCCAAGTTTCGGACCATTGGACTCCCTCAAAATTGTACTGGCTGATTCAAAGTTTGGGGGCTCCTAGGACTACTTAGAATGAAAAGGAGAGGAATGGGAAGCTCATCCAGAATGCTGCTGACACAGTGCTCATCTGTGACACTTTCCTGGCTCCCAGCTTGTCTTCTGTTGCCCTTAATCATTGACATTCAAGTGTGTAGAAGCCACAGCAGCTCAGGGATGGGGACAGGTAGGGGGTGGCTCAAAAGGAACTTACTGACTCATGTGAGGGGATGTTCCTGAAATGCAGATGTTGAAGACCCTTTTAAAACACAGTCCTTGGGATTGAGTTATCGATAGTACTGACCCCATGGCCCAAGATAGGCTGGACTTCTAAGATTTCCAAATCCAGGTTTAGACATCTTGGCTATGGCTAAGGTTCCAATTCCCTTTGCTCCATAAGCTCAGCCTGGCCCACAGCCACAAACTCCCCAAGCTATGGAAGCAGGGCTCACAAATGAGCACCCCAGTAACAAAGAGAACTGGTGAAAGAGTGTGGATGAATGAATCCAAACTCAAACACTAGAGATTCAAGAACGGACCCTCTCCATCTATGTAGCCCCAGCACATGGCACAGCAACTGACAGATAGTAGCTGCCTGAACAGTTTTGACCTATTTGAATTAAATTGAAAACTTAAAAGAAAAACAATGGATGATGCGCCCTATGGATGTTGGGCCTGGAGACTTTTCTTCTTATATAGAAAAACTGCACATTGTTTTGAAACAACAGGAAATTTTAAAAAATACAACATATTTTCTCTGTTTTATTGGAACCCAGTTATCTTATTAAGCACACAATCTGGCAGGGAAGCACTTTGGCCAAGTTTCTATGATTATTGCTCTCACCAAGATATTTTGTATTAAGGATCACTGTTGATTGCCTGAACCAACCTGAAACCCAAATGTCTGAAGTTTGGGGGAGCAGCATATGCCCACCACAGTAGCTTTGTGTTGGCATCATCCAAATTGTTTCCTACAATCCATCTGCGACTCTGAACTTCTGTTGGCATCCTCAGTTAGGAAGCTGAGGGAAAATAGAGAACAGAGTGGACAGGGAGAAGTACAGGCAGGGCAGGAAAAGATGAGAGCCAAGTTCTCCTGGAAACCATGGTAACTGGAGATAGGAGCAATTTGCAGACTGGACCATGGCTCCACAAGAAACTTGTTTTTTTTCCTCTATCTCAGACCAATGGAAATAGGCACTATTCCAAGCCCTGTGACCAGAGAATGGCATTTTTCTCAGGTGTTAAACTCTAGAAAAATAGTTAGAAATCATAAACCATTTGCAAATGATTTTAAGGCTTTTAGTAATGGATATAACCATTCACACAGCAGCAGAAAGGACTTTACAGTTAGTCTTTAGCTTGCTGTATAGCTTCCATAATCCTGGTGGTTCAAGATGCCTGATCCCTATGGATAGCTGTAAGCAAAAGTATTGGATGCTGAAGAAAAGAAGAAAAAAAAAAGTCCCCAGCTCCCTATGTCTTTTATTTTCCTCTTTAATCACATTTTAACTCTACCTAAAATTTCTTGCTCTTATGAAACCCTTCCAGGATAATCTCATACCAAAGTTAGTAAGGACAGCAGGCCAGGTGCAGTGGCTCATGCCTGTAATCCCAGCACTTTGGGAGGCTGAAGCAAGTGGATCACCTGAGGTCAGGAGTTCGAGACCAGCATGGCCAACATGGTGAAACCTCATCTCTACTAAAAATACAAAAAATTAGCTGGGCATGGTGGCGGGTGCCTGTAGTCCCAGCTACTCGGGGAGGCTGAGGCAGGAGAATCGCTTGAACCCAGGAGGCAGAGGTTGCAGTGAGCTGAGATCGTGCCACTGCACTCCAGCCTGGGCGATAAGAGCAAAACTCCATCTCAAAAAAAAAAAAAAAAAAAAAAAAAAAAAAAAGGTTTATGAGACAACAATTAAAAAAAAAAAAAAAAAAAAAAAAAAAGGTTTGTAAGGACAACAATTTGGGAAGATTTCGTTTTTAGTAATGGAACAATTATAGACTAGAAAATCTGCCTTGGAGCATATCCACCCTAACCTTGTCCTTATCTGTACCTTTCTACCTCCCCTTTAACCCTGCCAGTGAGAGCTCAGCTGTAGCATGGTCTTTATTTGCTTCTTCAGCTTCTAATATGATCCTTCATCCTGTAGTTCAGTGCCTGTCTCCTCCCTTCTGTCTCAACATCCTTGAAGTGACTACTGCTTAATCTGATCCCTCTGATGTGGCCTTGCAACAACTTCTCAAAGAATTTCCCCATGGATAACACTTCTAGCACTTCTAAATCCATCCCAGAAGCCAGTCTTGAAAGACCAAATGTGAGAGAAAATGACCAAGTGTCAGGTTTACAGGCAATGAATGAACTCTTAGTAAGTATAACCTAGAGACAGCTTACTTGGCATGTCCTAGGCCTAGCGAGCCTCTACCTCTGTTCTGTTGCATTAGCTTTCTTTTTGTACTTATGAAATTTAACAATCTAATCCATAAACTTATGACAGTCAGGGGGCCCAAAAGTGAGCCCATCTTTTGAGTTGTTCTTTTGAGCCATTGGGTATTGACAATGGATGTGGAATCCACAGTAATAGTCATTTCAAATTATATTCAGCTTGCTACTTGTTTTACAGAGCTGGGGAACTGGTCTAACCTCAATTACTATTTCAGTGTCTTCCTCATACAAAGATTAGTCAGGGAATATATGAATGTAGAAATTCCTCTACACCCATCTTTGCTGCTGAGTTCACAATACAAGAAGAACGCCCTGTTAGTGTGGCCAGTGCTCTCCTTACATTACTAATTCTCAGAGTATTCGGAAGCTCAGATCAATGTTACCTGGATTGTAGTTAGGTAGCTTGGAGACTCCCGGCCAAGTATCCTCTGTAGGAACTCCCAGCACCTATATAAAGCCAAACAAAGAAAAAGACAGGTGAGGTGGGGAGAAGAGGTGGATGCAAGAGGTAGGGAGACATGCAGGACAGATAAGTAAGAACAGGGAAGAGTCAGATATATGTCCCATTGCATGACACTAGCTGATGTATACAAGAAAGAACTCTGAGTGTTTCCAACGTTTGTGGTTTCTTGGGCAAAACTGTAATACATTCCTATGGTCCTGGGCCTGCATTCTTACTGACTCACTTGTTCTGAGGCAGATCATACAGCCTTGCTTAAAGTCATGTTCTCATCACTAAAGATTTACTGCATGATCATCATGCATTAAGACACCATGTTGGGAGCTAGGGATATAAAGAAGCAGGAGTGACTGTCTCTTTGCCTTACATCAGATGACAATATGTATATTGACAGGAGACACTTGACAGCCTAAATTATGCCTCGGTATGGGTATTCAGCTGTTCCCCAATGTGCTCAAATTAAAAAGGATTCAGATTACTGACCTTCACACAATGGAATGTTGGCTACAGATGACCCCAAAACTAACTCTAGTCCTTTCTATCGCATTCACTCATCTGCTTATTTTCTCTGTGACTAGCAGCTTGGAATATGGTATTTGGTTTTTCACTAATGGATTGTCATGGGAACAACATCACTTGAAAAAGAGCTGGCCTATGCTTTGAATTACCGATTTTGTCTTTGTTTTGAGACGGAGTCTTGCTCTGTCGCCTAGGCTGGAGTGCAGTGGAGCGATCTCGGCTCACTGCAAGCTCCGCCTCCCAAGTTCACGCCATTCTGCTGCCTCAACCTCCGGAGCAGCTGGGACTACAGGTGCCCGCCACCACACCCGGCTAATTTTTTTGTAGTTTTAGTAGAGATGGGGTTTCACCATGTTAGCCAGGATGGTCTTGATCTCCTGACCTCGTGATCCGCCCGCTTTGGCCTCCCAAAGTGCTGGGATTACAGGCTTGAGCCACCGTGCCCGGCCTTTTTTTTTTTTTTTGTATTTTTAGTAGAGATGGAATTTCACTGTGTTAGCCAGGATGGTCTCGATCTCTTGACCTTGTGATTCACCCGCCTCGGCCTCCTGAAGTGCTGGGATTTGAGGTGTGAGCCACCGTGCCCAGCCTTGAATTACCAATTTAAAGTCTTAGTTTTTAGTTAAGATGTATGAAAATAAAGTCTTTTGGAGTACAAAGCCAAAACAACTCAGACTTTGGATGGAGCTATCACCATGAGTTCCCCAGTAGGCAATACCTTAGTATTTTTTTAGAATAATCATAAAAGCCCATAGGCAGTCATATATGGTAGCTAGAGTAACATTGTTTTTGTGAAATACTAATAAAACACTAGTAGCTTTCATTATACTACTATAGTATAACTTTTCTTAGAAGCATATCTCACTATAACTCTTTTTAGAAACATCTCTTACAGAAAGAGTCTAGTGAATCCTTCTGTAAAATGCTGGTTATAGATACTGGCCCAATTATTATGGCAGGGAGTCAGTTGCCCAACAATGACTGAATATAATCAATGAAGAATCCAGAATCTTAATATCTATCAGCTTGTTGACTAGGACTCTGGCTGAGAGGTGTACTTTTTGGCATCTGTTAAGCTTGTCTTTAAACAAAAGACACTGAAGTGCTATTTTCCCTCATATAATAAAAAAATCATGCCACCCAGTAAAATCTTCCTTCTTTGATCCATTCCCTAAACAAACTAAAAAGCAACTGAGAGGATTACAGGCTTTTCCTATCAACCACCCTGAGCCCGAGGGAACACTAAGAATCCTGGAATCCATTTTGAAAAACCAACTGGACTAATTCTTCTTTTGTGGGAGAGGGCCGGGGACAGGAAGCTAATTCTTCTTTTTGAACCTACCACCTTATGTATTTGCACAGATGCATGTGTAAACAAGGGGGTGTGAATCACATGTACCCATACATCCTCTGTTGGCTGGCAAAGTGCAATGAAAAGAAAGCAAATATAATGAAGAGAAAACAATAGAAGAAATACATAACAACCACTATCATGTTTTCTCTAAGGTGACAGTTACCAGATGGTTCGTTACTTTGTATGATATTTAACTAAAGCCAACAAAATGGATACCAAAAAATTTTTTTTTTAATCTTACGTTCAAAGCTTTAAGCTTGAGATTTTAAAAGTTTAAACAAAAATTCAATATACTTTATTTGGAAATTTGACCTCAGTTTCTATTTGAAAGTTATTGAATTCTTTTTCACTTGAGAAAATTACTAAATCTCTCCTTCACTGTCTGGGAAACTGAAAACCAAAAATTGTTGTTTTACTCCCTCCCTGAAGGCCCTTAAAAGGCAGCCAGTGAGTGCTATGTTTCAAACCACAGTGGTCTGAAGGGGCTGTTTATCTGCCTTTGTTGGAAAGGAAACTAAAAGCATTTTGATTAATGGATTTAAAGTTTGCATAGTTTATTCTGATTTTAGAACTAAATCCAGGATTATTTATAAAAAACACTTATTTAAAATCAGTTTTTAAAATTGATCAGAAAGTGGTGACAGCTATTATTTAGATGTAAACACATACACTACAGGCATTTCAGAAAAATAGCAAAACAAAGATTGAGGACTTCTCAATGTGTTTTTATTCCTAAGAATGAGATCTCAGGATAAATGGAGAACAAATTGTGGTTAGAGGTTAAGAGATTTAGAATGGACCCATTGCTTTCAGAGATGCACTTCTGACATCAAATATCACAGATTCTGAAGTAGCTTTCCTATTTTCATCTGTGTAGGCCATGTTTAGTAAAACACAAATTCAGGAACTATTTATAATCTGTATAATTTTCTAACCTGCTTATAGGCAACAAATGTGAAAATAGACAAATGGGAATAAATAAAACTAAAAAGTGTCTTCACAGCAAAGGAAACAATCAATAAAGTGAAGAGATAACCTATGACGGGAGAAAATATTTGCAAGCCATACATTTGATAAGGGGTTAATATCAAAAAAATACAAGGAACTCAGTAGCAAGAAGACAATCCCATTAAAAAGTGGGCAAAGGGCTGGGTGCAGTGGCTCACGCCTGCAATCCCAGCACTTTGAGAGGCTGAGGCAGGCGGATCACCAGAAGTTGAGGGTTCGAGATCAGCCTGAACATAGTGAAACCCCGTCTCTACTAAATATACAAAATTAGCCAGGTGTGGTGGTGCACACCTGTAATCCCAGCTACTCGGGAAGCTGAGGCAGGAGAATTGCTTGAACCCGGGAGGCGGAGGTTGCAGTGAGCTGGGATCAAGCCACTGCATTCTAGCCTGGGCAACAGAGTGAGACTTGATCTCCAAAAAAAAAAAAAAAAAAAAAAAAAAAAAAAAAAAAAAAAGTGGGCAAAGCACTTGTTTGTTATGGTTTAAATGTTTGTGTTCTCTTCATAATTCATGTTGAAACTTTATCCTCAATGCAACAGTATTAAGAGGTGGGGCCTTCAGGGGATGATTAGGACACATGGACGGAGATGAATGCCCTTATAAAGGAGCTAGAGAGAATTAGCCAGGCCCGTTTGCTCTTCTGCCTTTCCACCACGTAAGGACACAGCATTTGTCCTCTCTGGAGGATGCAGCCACAAGGCACTAACATGGAAGCCAAATCTCTCACTGGACAAGAGCATATAGTGCCTTGATCTTGGACTTTCCAACCTCTAGAACAGTAAGAAATAAATTTCTGTTCCTTTTTTTTTCTTTTTGAGACGAAGTCTCACTCTGTTGCCCAGGCTGGAGGGTAGTGGCATGATTTTGGCTCACTGCAACCTCCACCTCCTGGGTTCAAGCAATTCTCCTGTCTCAGCCTCCCAAGTAGCTGGGACTACAGGCGCCCACCACTACACTCGGCTAGTTTTTGTACTTTTAGTAGAGATGGGGTTTCACCACATTGGCCAGGCTGGTTTTGAACTCCTGACCTCAGGTGATCCACCCACCTTGGCCTCCCAAAGTGCTGGGATTACAGGCATGAGCCACCACACCCGGTCAATTTCTGTTCTTTATAAAATGGCCAGTCTAAGGGATTTTGTTATGGTAGCAGGAATGGACTAAAAACCTCAATACATATTTCTCAGAAGAAGACCTACAAATGGTCAAGAGGTATATGAAAAAATGCTCAATATCATTAGTCATTACACAAATGAAGACTAGGACCATGGTGAGATATTGCCTCACAACTATTATCAAAAAGATGAAAGAGGTGTTGGCAAGAATGCGGAGGAAAGGGAACATTTGCACACTGGTGGTGGGCATGTAAATAGCACAGCCATTATGGAAGATGGTATGGAGGTTCCTCAAAATATTAAAAATGGAACTACCATATGATCCAGCAATCCCAATACAGGGCATATATACAAAGAAATGAAGTTAGTTTGTTATCTACAGTCCCATGTTCATTGAATGCAATTTTTTTATTGCATCTGTAGTTTCTTGCTCTGCGGACAAAGTGAGAAAGTCATCATGTTTAGCAGCTGCGTTACCATTTATACCACTATGTCTCAAGCAGGTTAGAAAATTATTATTTTTTCTCTTTCCAGCATAGTACCTAGCCCATTGTGAGTCCTAAAGAGTGATCAGGCCTTGAGAAGCATCTTGCTCACTTTATTCTGTGATTTTTCTAAGTGCTGTGCTAACTATACACTAAAGAATCATAAAATGATTGCTTTTTAAATTGTATCATCATTCAAAGATAGTATGTCATATTTTAAAGGGTTATTTTAAATTTATATTTATTAGTATTAGAGATGGGGGTCTCACTACGTTGCCCACACTCCTGGGATCAAACGATCCTCCTGCCAGCCTCCCAAGCAGTAGAGACTACAGGCACACATGACTATGCCTAACTGTATATTGTATTTTAAAAATCAGTTTACAAGACCAGGCATGGTGGCTCACGCCTATAATCCCAGCACTTTGGGAGGCCAAGGCAGGTGGATCATGAGGTCAGGAGTTTGAGACCAGCCTGACCAACATGGTGAAATCCTGTCTCTACTAAAAATACAAAAATTAGCCTGGCGTGGTGGCATGTGCCTGTAACCCCAGCTACTCAGGAGGCTGAGGCAGGAGAATCGCTTGAACTTGGGAAGTGGAGCTTGCAGTGAGCGGAGATCACACCACTGCATTCCAGCCTGGGCGACAGAGCGAGACTCTGTCTCAAAAAAACAAAAAGAAAAGAGAAAAAAAAATCAGTTTATATACAACTCTTCAAATACTAATAGCACATAAGGATATACTTACATTTTTTTCAAATAAACTACTCTTCAAATATCCTAATAGTACATCTTATTTCAGTATTACAATTTATATTAACTATCTTTAGATACATCCTTTTACATATATACATAGCTTACGTTTGTTTCACATATATTTACTTATACTTCACCATTGCTCTACCTAGACTGAACAACACTTGAAAATACAGATCATGTGTTTTTCTTATTCTGTTTTTCCCCCCCTTGGCTTACAGCTTCTTACAAGACCTTGTAGAGTCTTGTAGAGTTACTCACCTTATATATGGTGAATAACCACTAATTGTTGTTTCCTGATTAAATGACCAGGAAAAACTCTGCAAATGTATAAAAGGTCATTGCAGTATCAGAACTGCAATTGTGCTTCCTCTATTGTGGACAAGAAGTAATACTGCTAAGTGAAAGAAGAGGACAATCGGGTTAAATTTCAGGTAATACTTGCTAGCAGTTAGGTTACTGAAACATCGTACAACAATTTGTATGAGACAGGAAGAAAGCAAACATCTATTGAGCATTTATGGTGCATGGAGCTTGTTATGCATTTGTTCTCATGGAATTCTCAAAGCAAGAATTAGAAAGTCCTTATCACTGTTCCCATTTTACAGACAAGGAAATGAAAGTTCAGAGGGACTACATAACTTGCCTTTGTTCATTTAGCTAGAAAATGGCTAGAATTCAAACCCAGGTCTTCTGACTTCAGAGCTATTACAGTAGTCTGTCTCCAGCTTAGATGATGTTATAGCACCCAATAACACAATGTGAAGAAAGGATTTCTCTGCCTTGCAAGGACGTTTTTAGAAAAAGTCTTTTGGCTTGGATTTTTTTTTTTTTTTAAGTTGTGAATGCTTCCCAGTTTTTCCCATGTTCGTTCATAATAGCCCCCATGTTTCTAGAAGAAAATTTAATGTCAGTAATTAATCTCTATAAAATGTCTTAATTTCACAAAGTACATTTTATTTTAGCCAGAAGACAAAGAGCAGGATCCAGAATAGCAAGTAAAGAAAGTAACCCCCTGCACCCTGCCGATTTAAAGCACCTTGACACTTTCTACAACGTGGATGAACCTTAAAAATATGCTAAGTGACATAAGTCAGATACAAAAAGACAAATTTGTATGATTCCACTTACATGAGGTACCTAGAAGAGGCAAATTCAGGGAGACAGAAAGTAGATTAAAGGTTACTAGGAGCTAGGGGATGGAAGATGGGCAGTTATTGTTCAGTGGGTCCAGAGCTTCCGTTAGGGATGATAGAGAAGTGCTGGAAATGGATGGTGGTGATGATGGCGCAACTATACGAATGTACTTAATGCCGATAAGCTGTACACTTCAGGAGGGTCAAGATGGTAAATTTCATGTTTTATATATTTTACCGCAATAAAAATATGACCAAAAAAGGAAATATACAGATGACTATAGTATGACTGTAGTACTATATAAGGGCCATAAAAACAAAGCATATCGTAGGCAAATGAGGTAGGGATAAATAATGAATGAAGAAATGGAGCCACATACACACACAAAGGCACCTTGACACTTTAGGAACTTGGTTGTGGATAAGCATGATAAATGGTACACTTCTCTCACACTAAGACGGAAAGCCTCTGTTCTATCAGGGTTCTATGAAAATTCTGTGTCTTTTTTTTGGTTGCCCAGCCTGGAGTGCAGTGGCATCGTCATAGCTAACAGCAGCCTCGACCTCCCTGGGCTCAAGCAATCCTCCCATCTCAGCCTCCTGAGTAACTGGGACTATGGTGTGCGCCACACAGCCCACTCATTTCTGTATGTTTTTGTAGAGACGGGGTTTTGCCATGTTGCCCAGGCTGGTCTTGAACTCCTGGGCTCACAGCAATCCCAAAGTGCTGGGATTACAGGCATGAGTCACTGTACCCAGTTGAAAATTCTCTGTCTTATTTTCAGTTGACAAAGATCCAGGGCCAAATATATGGTAGCATTAGAACTGGAGGTAGCAAAGTAGGGGCGTGTCTGAGTAGTAATGGCAGAAATTGCCCTGGGGAGGTTAAGACAATAATAATGATGGGTAGCAGGAGACCTGAATGTCATTCAGTGAGCTGGATTCATGGGCTGCTATGGGGCAACAGGGAGTTTCCTGACCACACATTCCCAGAGTGCTTATAGCTGTGGCAAATGCTACAGTTTCTACAATCTTAATATATGGCTTAATATCTCAAAACAGATGGACTGCTTCATTTGTCTGTAAGGCAAATTTGGTTCAAAACTTAAAATGCAGATATTTCATTTTCTTTACAAGAATTCTTCTCTTACCTCCCAGATTTTCTCCAGCTGTTCAAGGATGTTGGAAACCCCAGGAAACAAAGGTTGACCCTGGAACATTTCAATAAAGATGCAGCCTGCACCCCTAGCAAAGGAAACAAGAGTAAATTGACACTTTGAAAGAAATCATACAAGCGAAACTGAACTACTAGAATTTCTCCTCCCAAGAAATATTTTAGGGAGAGTTAAATAGGGACCACATGATATTAAAAGTCTTGGGCCAAAAAAAAGTCCCCATGTGAAACAAAATAAGAACAGCCCACAGCTTTTTATTAAAATGGAACACCACGAGAAGCAGTTAGGAAAGCAGTGGAGTTAGCAAACATTGTAGATCATTCAAGCTCATTATCCATTTTAGGAGAAGAGGGGAAAGTACTGCACCCCCAAATTTCATTTCATCCCCACTTTTCATGGAGTCTAAGATGCTATCATTGTAAGAAGCATCATTGGATTTTTGCCATTGAGAAAAAAAAATGCAAGTTAAACTATGATGTGATCGGAATGTTCATTTTATACTTATTGTAAGGGCTGTTATAAATTTAATTAAATGTAGATTATTTTCTCATATTGCATACTTGTACATGCAAAAGAGAAACATTAAGCAAAATAAATTGGTTTAGGTATTCCTAAAACTTTTCCACATTCAGCATTTGACTCAGACTCTTTGATGTCTACACTTATCTATGTATCATCCTCTATATTAAGAATTTGATGATGCAGCATTTCTTAAAATAATCCATAAAACAACTGAGAGTCATCGGTCCTGGGCTCCTAAGCTGGCCTAGCAGTTATGTAGTGTTAGCTTACTTCTGACTACTGCTTAAAGAATGTTGCTAAACATGTCTGATTTGCTCCTTTTCCACAACAATTTGGTTCCTAGGAGTTTTAAAAAAAAAGAGGACTTTTGTTTGCAGAGTTTTCTTCCAAGTTGCTGACACTGATTCTGCAATTTTTTTTTTTTTTTTTTTGGTGGAATCTTTCTCTGTCGCCCAAGCTGGAGTGCAGTGATGCGATCTCAGCTCATTTTAACCTCTGCCTACCAGGTTCAAGCGATTCTCCTGCCTTAGCCTACCAAGTAGCTGGGACTACAGGCACCTGCCACCATGCCTGGCTAATTTTTATATTTTCAGTAGAAACGGGATTTCACCATCTTGGCCAGGCTGGTCTTGAATTCCTGACCTCAAGTGGTCCACCCACTTCAGCTTCCCAAAGTGCTGGGATCACAGGTGTGAATCACTGCGCCCAGCCATTCTGCAAGTTTTGATGCTGGCTCATTTGATGTTCACACATGTGCAATTCTAACTATAGTCACAGCTGCAACCTGGCTGACTTATATTGTTAGATGCTACTGATTATAAGGTGCATCCTGATTTAGTGGGAAATGTTCATCTTTAAATACATTGAACAGTGAAATGTAAATTTTCTTTCATGGTCAAGCTGAAGGATAATTACAGAGGGACAGGAAGGAGTAAGATTTATTTTGCTAATAATACATATTTTTATTCTCATAAGTCTTTTGAGTGTTAGACGTGGTTCAGGTGACTGATTACAGAGACTATCCACATGGTCCCATACTTCTCTCTTTTCTTTTTCTTTTTTTTTTTTTTTTTTACTGCAAACCTCTTTCACTATACCACATAATTTTGCAAACTCTGTTAATCATTTTGCCATTTCTGTGTGGCATGATAAAGAAGGAAATTTAAGTAAAACATTTTATCCTAGATAATATTATTAAAAATTTGTTATCAAGTTTATTTTAAAATATGGTCCTTAATATTATTCATATATGTTTATTACATATATGTGTTTATTGCATAGTTTTACTTTTTCCATCTGACTACAGACATACGGTCTTTTTTTTTTTTTTTTTAATACAGATTGTGTTTCGCCATGTTGTCCAGGCTGGTCTTGAAATTCTGGGCTCAAGCAATCTACCTGCCTAGGCCTCCCATAAAGCTAGGATTATAAATATGAGCCACTGCACACGGCCTGACATACACTGTTTAGATTACTTTTCATTGATTGTGTAGGAGAAAGCAGATTTATTGGCAATCAAGTTTAAAAACTGCTTTGTTTCTGGTTTGGGAACAGAGTACATATTAAAAGAAAGAGTGAAATTTATTTGTATCTTATCCTGTAAAAATAGACAAAAACTCTTTTCATAATCTAATATTTGGTTTTAACTTAACTGACTGGCTTGTTCTTAGAGTTTTGCTTAAAAAATGATATCAGAGTGAGCTTTGCAAGCAGGTTTGTCCTCCATGAAGCAACAGGTCGTTTTTATTGCCAATTTTTTTTTTTTTTTTGAGACAGGTTCACTCAGGCTGGAGTGCAGTGGTGCAATTTCAGCTCACTGCAACCTCCACCTCCCAGGTTCAAGCAATTCTCCTGCCTCAGCCTCCCGAGTAACTGGGATTACAGGCATGCACCACCATGCCTGGCTAATTTTTGTATTTTTAGTAGAGACAGGGTTTCACCATGTTGGCCAGGCTGGTCTCAAACTCTTGGCCTCAATTGATCCACCTGCCTCAGCCTTCCAAAGTGCTAGGATTACAGGCATGAGCCACCATACCCAGCCTTATTGCCAATTTTTAAAAAGCCCCATTTTATTCTTTTTCTTTTTTATTTTCTAATATTTTTTATAGAGACGGGATCTCACTATGTTGCCCAGGCTGGTCTTGAACTCCAAGCCTCAAGCAATCCTCCTGCCTTGGCTTCCCAAAGTACTGGGATTACAGGTGTGAACCACCACGCGCCTGGCCTTTTTTTTCTTTTCTACTGATTTTTGCTGTATAAGAAACATCTTGACATGTGATACAAGAATTTTGATCAGATAAATTTAACTTATGAATCTAGTAGAGTATCTTGAGGTAAATTTGTAGAATTATTGTTATTTTAAAGTTCCTCATTAACTTGCATTTAAATATCCATGTTCTTTTTGTCTCCTGTCTTTAAAACAAGAGATATTAAGGGTATAAATGAAACAATATATGAAGGCGAATAAAAGTGATGGAAAACTGTCAAATGCTTAAAAACACCCTGGTTGCTAGCAATGATCCACTAAGAGATAAGCCAACGGAGAAACCTAGTTCGTGGGCGCCACCAAATGGTCTCCACCCTGCCCCCCGTGACTTCTCCACTTGCGCTTTCTTGAAAGGCCTCACACCATTTTGTTTCGAAGTAAAAATAAATACGTGTCTGTGTATATAAAATACATACATAATTGGCTTATTACTTGGTTATAAAATAGGAATGGAAAGGCATGAACTAACCCTCTATCCAGTTCCCAAACACCTTCCAGAAACCCCAGGAGCTCACAAACCACTAGAAGGATTGAAAACATTTTAAACAAGGTTCAAAAAATGACATTCCTAGGTTTAAAACTGTAATTCACTTTCTTTTCTCCCCCAAAAAGCCTTCCATTGCCTGGAAGAAGCTTGTTGCCTTTTCATGGTGTTTTTTTTTTTTTTTTTTTTTTTTTTTTTTTTTGAGACGAAGTCTCGCTCTGTTGCCCAGGCTGGAGTGCAGTGGAGCGATCTGTGCTCACTGAAAGCTCTGCCTCCCGGGTTCATGCCATTCTCCTGCCTCAGCCTCCCGAGTAGCTGGGACTACAGGCGCCCACCACCATGCCTGGCTAATTTTTTTGTATTTTTAGTAGAGACAGGGTTTCACCATGTAGCCAGGATGGTCTCGATCTCCTGACCTTGTGATCCACCCGCCTCAGCCTCCCAAAGGGCTGAGATTACAGGCATGAGCCACGGTGCCCGGCCGATGTGTTTTCATACTTACAGCTGTAGGGAACCAAGAAGTCATTTTGTTACACAATTCCTTAGTATCGTGTCATTTACCTTCTGTACCACTAAAATTGTATACAAAATTATGTAAAATATATTGGCAAAAACTACAGCACTCAGGCCATTATGTAAGTACCATAAAGTAACATAAGATGTTTGTGTTCCAGAGATATAATGCCAATATTTGGTTTATATGCTTGAAATTCTCCATTTGCATTTTGGGGAAGGTTGAAACCTTCCTTAGCTAACAAATCTAAGTCTAAGGTTACTCATTTATACACATACACATGCACACACACTATATATATAGTGTGTGTGTATGTATGCACTTGTGCATGCCTTTAGAACACTTACAAAATTCCTAAATCAATTTTATTTCAGTACATGGACTATCCATAGGTACCATAAATATCAATGCATTGAAAACAAAGTAAGTCCACACTGTAAGTTTGAAAGGTGACAGATCTGTTCTAGGTGTAAGCATTGTAATCCCAGCACTTTGGGAGGCCAAGGCGGGCGGATCATGAGGTCAGGAGTTCAAGACCAGCCTGGCCAACATGGCGAAACCCCGTCTCTACTAAAAATACAAAAATTAGCCTCGCATGGTGGTGTGTCCCTGTAATCCCAGCTACTCAAGAGGCTGAGGCAGGAGAATTGCTTGAACTGGGGAGCCAGAGGTTGCAGTGAGCCTAGATCGCATCACTGCACTCCAGCCTGGGTGACAGAGCCAGACTCCATCTCAAACAAACAAACAAATGTACATACAAACAAAACTATGCAATTTATCTTATTTTTTTCATTTCTGTTCAGAACTTTTTTTTTTTTTTTTTTTTTTTTCAATTTGCTTCTTGGCCCTTAAGAATACAAGTCATGTGGCTATCATCTATTTTGCCCACCACAGACTATTGTTAAAGCAAACATTTTAAATATTCTGAACATTCAAGTCCAGATAGGGAACTAGCTTCCACTTCCTTTTATTTTTCTATTTTGTTCTTAAATCTTCATTCCTGGGGCTCCTCTTACCCTACATATCTTTAAGCTTCTCTGAGGATTTCTGCTCTGTAGAGATACTCCTGGGGCAACCCGTGTAGATGAAGGGGAAATGCATATGCAAGGGAGAAAAGACCTGGTGACATCAAACATTAAACCCTTCCAGAAGGGAGAGAAGCGCTGGATCATTTTATGGTTCCAACTGTGGTTCTTCAGTCAAGTTAGAGGAAACTGCTTACATGTTTTCTCCTCTTTCTGGTTCTCCTACTTTTTCTCTATTCTGAGCATGAACAAATTCTTC